CAACTATAAATAGGGGTCTTCATAACTCAGAAAAGAGACCAGAAGTTATAACAAGAAGTAAGAAAGAGCTCGTGGATTAAACGCTGCAAATTCCTCCACAAGTTTCAGGCTTCAAGTTCAAAAAAATCAAGTGCAAGTTCAAGAACGAAGAACAAATCAAGGTCAAGTTCAAGTAATAAAGTTCAAGCTCAAGAACAAGATCATCGTTCGAGGCAACAAATACATATTCAAGATCAAACTCAAATGCCCTTGAATTTATACTAGAAAAGTAGAATCAAAGGAATCATAGAGATTGTAACACTCAAATATTCAAAATAAAATACTACGACTGTTGCGATATTTTTTCGATCTTGATTTTATTTTCTCGACCCAAATTTATTGTCTACACATGGATAACACAATAATCAACAAGGAACAAAGAGGGGATAAAATCACGTAAATTAAACTTTACAACAGTTAAATGTATTTGTATTTGAGATGCAGATTTCGTTTTGAATTATGATGAGAAAACTGGTGCTAAATGGATAAAATCACGTAAATTAAACACAATAAATCCAAGCAACAATTGAAAATATAATTTAAATTCTCACACAGGTATTACAATAATTAATAATTTTAATGTTATTCTAATGGTAGTTAACTTAAATAGAATTACAGCAAAACCAAACAGTCGATGACCTTCCAAATGGAGTTTTCCGGAACCAGAAGACACTCTAATTATAGTACCTCAACTTGATGATTGAGACGGTACTAGGTCCTTCAAAAGATTTCCATTCCTGTGCCGCGCGCTATGAGTTCTTTCCAGTAATTTCAGTACTTGCAGATCAATATGAGGTGTAAAACGCCGAATATTATCTTCAAATGATTCCAATTCTTGCCTTACGACACAGAGTTTCACTGTATTGTCCTCATGGACGTTAAGCGGAACTTTCTCTTTATAGCGAGAGGCAGTCATCATTTTGTTTAAGCTTTTCATATTGCCTGCAGAAGAAGAAAGAGTTGATACATCATTACATGGCAAATTGAACCGCTTGTAAACTTAACATTATAAACTGACTCAAATTTCACAATATCAACTTGAGGCCAAAGTCCACTTTTGAACAAAAACAACTGAACGACAAAAAACCAAATTGCATCTTGCGCTATGCTTCAAATGGATGCACTAATTGAAAGCACTGATAGCAGACAGGAGGGAGGAATAGAGGAACATGATTTCCCATTATAAAAGAAAAAACATGCCACATGTATATTAATATCTATTGATACCCAAAACAACTTCCTCGATGTAGTTCAATGACCTCTGCAATTGACCAGATCGGGCCCAAAGTTTCAGTGACTCAAAGACTAAGACAAACACCAATTTCCTGTTTCTGCAAGGCTTATATGCTTTAAATACTGATTCAAAAGGAAAAGCGTCTAGTTTACTTCTGTTCGACAGAAAAATCAGATAGTATAGCATCAAGGAGAAATTCAAAGGCACAATCAAGTTTTGCAAACAATAGCACCAGTCTATGAAATTCACTTACTTCCTAGTGTCTTCTCTCTTCTTTATGAGCCTTTGAACTTCAACCACTGGGTCACAAGTAGTCCCTTCTCCCTCAAGAAAAACTGTGAGAGACTCATCCACAACCTCTATCAGCCCGGTTAGTGTTGCCTTGGTCCTATGCCTTTGAAAAATATCCTCAAGGCTATGAGATTATATGCCCTCGTGAGACTTTGCCGGCAGCTACCCCATG